GTTTTATATATTTATACTTCTCATTCAACCACAGTTAAATTCACTCTATCTAGGAGGCTCAGTTTATATGGATAGTTTTTATTTTTTTTATAATTACAAGCTGGAATAAAAACCAAGCAAAATGAAATTAAAGTAACAACTTTCTACTTCTTACCTTTTTTTAAAATGTAATGAGTAGAAAGTACAGATAACTGTGTGAAAATGTAAGGAATAGAAGTAAAAAGTAGGCTGAAAAATAATTACTCAAGTAAAGTAGAGATACTCAACAATTCTACTTAAGTACAGTAACAAAGTATTTGTACTTAGTTACTTTACAACTCTGATGGAATGTTTGACTGTTAGTTTTGTTTTTGTCTTTCTCAGCAGAGATAAAAATTTTCCAGTCAGTCAGTCAGTCGACTGTTGATGCCAAGCACATCCCGCACTGCAACACGAGCAGGAAATTATGACTTCTTCTCTTAAGGAAGTAGCTGTGGACACGAGAACTAAGTGTGATTAACTAACCCAGTCAGTGGTGATGCAACCCTGCGTTTTTTTTCTTTCAACCACAACCTGGTCTTGCTGGTTTCATTATCTTTCAATGCAGAAACTAAAGTTCACCTGAGGCAAACAAAAACCTGATACGGGACCTTTACGCTGAGGGTCTTGCTGCACTAAGGGGGCTGACAATAAGGAGAGGATCGATGCACGTCTGCGTATGTGGAGGCTGCAGTGGTGGTTTGTGAAATATGTGATTGCCTCTGGAAGTACACGAGGGTGTCTCCAGAGGCATTCCTCCGTGGTTTTAGCTGACAGACAACAGGAGCAACACAGTCTTATAGTGTGGGGATGTTATCTAAAATGGAGATTACTGTATCGTCAAATCATGCAGCAAATTGTACTGATACTCATGAGAACAGCACAGTACGTAGAGACAAACTTGGACGTGTTCAAGATGCATCGATGGGACAATGAGGTCAACACTCCCTCGTACCTTCCACTTCCTCCTCGTCACAGATGTGTTTAACAAAGGACGCTCCTCGGTCCAGCACGGCTTCATCCTCCATTCTACAGAAACAGAAACAAAACAAATGAAGATGGCGAGAAGATTACTGAGAAACGGCTGAGTCATCAATTATTTCTTTATATTTTGTTTTCAGTGAGGCAGACCTAGTAATCGTTTCAAAGGTGGAATGAAGCAAATCTTTCCAGACGGTCTCAAAGTTTTACTTTGCTCCGTTTTTCCACTTTGACCTCTGAATCATTCATCAAAAAATAACGCAGATTGTCCGCCGCCTTTCAGGCCAAGACTTTAAACTGATGATGAAAAGTGGCCAAAGGCATTCCACACGATGCCATGCAATTTTGTAAAATGAGGAAAAATGTGTTAGCTTTCAAAGTAAGTGTTGAGGATGACGCTCAGCTACTACCACACCAAATTTTAACCCACTGTCTGTAAATTTGACTGAATTATAACCGTTTGTGGTTTTTGACAAAGATTTGTTGTGGCAGCCATCTTGAACTGGGTTCACTTAGAGATGTGACGTTCAAGAACGATCCGAATCTTTTGAACGACTCTTTACAACGAACGATAGGAGCCGAATCACGGGCAGTAACGAGCCATTTGTAGTTTTATTTCTTCTATTTCTCATATAATTTTTTTTTTCATTTTTAAATCGCTCCCGCTTTGCTTTTTCACAGAAAACAGACGGAGTTGTAATAACTTTTACTAGATAATGACGAGTAAATACTACATGAATTTGTAGCATTTAAATTCACTTAAACATTAGAGCAAATTGTTATGAGGATTTTTTTTAGTAAAATTTACAAGTTCTTTATAACAGTGCACATGTGTCAAGCACAATATTGTAACATGACACCTCACAGCTACAGAGGTGTAGCTCATGCTGTAGTTCAAGACTTCACCACCAGGTGGCAGTTTTGAAGAACCTTTACTGGATTCTTCTTCATGAACAACACAGTAGAGATGTGACGTTCGTGAACGATCCGAATCTTTTGAACGGCTCTTTACAACGAACGATAGGAGCCAAATCACGGGCAGTAACGAGCATTTGTAGTTTTATTTCTTTTATTTCTCATATAATCTTTATTTTTTTTTTTCATATTTAAATCGAGTTGGGGAGTACAGAAGCTCACGGTGAAAGGGGCAGGTGGGTTTCCACTTGACAAACACATGGTTCCACCCATGTGATGGGATGACATCACTACGTACCGCTACGTGATGACGTATTTCTCCACGTGATGACGTAAGATGTTCAAAATTGAACGGCTTTTTTGAATGACTCTATGAAACAAATGGCTCCCCAAGATCAGGATCCCTTCAAAGAGTCATTTATCCCAGCTCTGGGTTAGTAGTAGTAGTAGTAGT